CGCCATAAGTGTTGCGCAAAAGCGGTGCACAACCGCTTAAAAAGGAAAAAAATATATAAAAAAAACCTTCACCAATTAATCTACTTAAGAGGCAACTAACCATCACTCGATTTTCTTTTGCTTCTTCTTCTTCTTGTAATCCTAAATCATCACTTTCTAAAAGTATTGGTAAAATTCGTTGGTAGCGTGCGTCGCCGTGCCAAAACAGTCAATGAATCGTATATATCAACTGGTATGGTGAGCAAAATCTGCCGTCTCTTTTATTCTTTTACTTATCAATACAACAGCAAATGTGACGTCACACATGCACGTGTATAAGAATGTCGTAGACAAAACATTCACACTGCCAGACTACGGTGTATGACATTTCGTTTACACCCCTGAGCGGGAAAGCAAATAACATGCTACATGCAATGCTGCCATCTCCCCTGTTTGTGTTTAATTCAATCTTTGTTTACTTTTGTAATTGGAACGTTTAAGTTCCAAAAAAGGACCTTTTATTTTTATTCATTCAGTTTTTGATATTTATTCGCCATTAAAAACATCCACTCATCTAAGTTATTGGGTTAAACTTCGTATTGGCATGTTTAAAAAAAATTATATTCAATGCTAGAGGTAATACATCTGGCAACGCTTGATCTAATGATTCTTCTACGTTCGCTAGCAAAGAAGTGGAAACGAAGTGATTTTCTTAGTGTTTTGTTTTGTTCACCAAGAGATTTGACTTCCAGTTTTAATAAATTTAGTGTATACGATTACGTGAAATTGTGGAATGCTATGAAGAACACAAGTAAGTAAATGCAGTGATAGTGTTTTACCCAGAAAATATACGATGTAAAATCATGAAATACTTGCTTTAAATTTTCGGATGGCTTGTGTGTGAATGTATGTGTATATTAATGATGATGATTGAAGAAGATTTCAAAAACAAGAAGAATCCCAATTGATTGACTGTGTCTTGAACCTTAACTACTAGTTGTTAATGTTTCGTTGCCATGCAACCATACAAAAAAAAATTATATAAAAAAAAATAACTTTTTACTAATTGCAAAAATGCCCCACCCTATTAGGGAGAGCACACTACCACATGGCAACTTTGCTATACAATAGCAAGGCAATCGTAAAAACTATCCTATTATACTTATGCCGTTTGCTACTGCTTGCTTGCAGCTGCAGGTGGCGATACAATGGAGACGTCGATAACTGCGATACAATGGAGACGTCGTGATGATGGTGATCTTTCACCGGGATGGGTAGAGATGGACACTCGAAATAAACGGGCTCGCCGAATTTCGGTGCTTCCGAGACACGCGCGCTTATCACCTGGACACTGCACTGTGATGCGAAAAAAACCACGCGGATGGAAAAAAAAATCACAACTAATACTTTATGTCGTGTGAGAGACCGGGACCGTGTTAACCGACTCAGCGCTCGATACGGAATGAATATCTTCGTGTTTTGTCGAGATTTTACAGCACTGGTATTTAATGTTTAAAATCTAAACAAAAACGTTATACGTGGTTTATGAACAACCCCTATAACAGATGCGTATTTCGTTTACTGCTTGCAAACTTCTTCAGTGTCTGAAAACAGTGTAGAAAACTCTTAAAAGAGTATCTTCAATTTATTTACAAAAAAAAACTACAAGGGACAGCCCTATGAGGTTGTACGCAACTACGTGGTCTTATATAATAAATCTTATTTGTTGACTGCAGCAGGAGCTTGTGTTTTGTGTCGGAATAGGAATTTGAGTGGTGTTCTCTCTGTTTATACTCTTTAGTATGACGCGCTTGACAGTATGTATAATGGCCCACAGCGACTCACGAAGAGCTACTGATTCCGATCAATAGCGGTGCGGCTTCTTCTTCCTCCTTCTATGGATGCTCGTGTGGGCTGCAACTTGCTGCTTGCGGGGAGCCTTTCGTTGTGTACTGGAGAACACCACCACTCATCACGTGGTGTTTGAATAAACACCGTTTGGTGAGACCGGATGGAATTCAACTTTGAAATCTGTATAATGAGAGAGAGAAGGATTAGTATTTTCCATTTAATTCCACTACTTTATTTGCTTATCCTTTCAAGGATAAGGACGGACAGGACGGACGCGCCAACGAAAAAGAAATTCGGATTGTAAAGGAGCTAAAAAGTAAAGCAGTATACTACGTAAAGGCAGACAAGGGAAACGCGGTCGTTATCATGGACAAGGACGATTACGATAATCAAATGATAACGAAGATCAACAACGGACCGTATAGACAGCTTCGAGTAGACCCCTTACAGAACATAGTGAAACGCGTGGAGAAAGCACTGAAGGAGTGCAAATCGATATTAGGAGATGGAGCAGGTCGTATACGGGAACCCAATCCCATTCTACCCAGGATCAAAGGTCTTCCCAAAGTCCACAAACCAGGAAATGAAATGCGAGAGATCGTGTCTGCAGTTGGTTCCCCCACCCACAAACTAGCGAAGTGGCTAGTCAAAGAGTTCCAGAGTATGCCGAATCAGTTCCAGAGTAAAGCAGTTAGTAACACCCAGGAGTTCACCCAGCAACTACAATCTTCAGGAGACATCAACGAGGACGAGATTATGGTATCTTTCGACGTCACAGCTCTTTTTCCCAGCGTACCGGTCAAGGAAGCGATCAACCATTTGGAGGACTGGCTATTAACACAACGAGAGGATGCAGCATGGAGAAACAAGGTTCGGACGTACCTTAAGCTGACCCGCCTTTGTATGGAAGAGAACTACTTCTCTTTCCGAGGTAACTTCTACAAGCAGACGAAAGGAGCCCCAATGGGAAACCCCCTATCCCCCTTCTTGTGTGAACTTTTCATGGCCAACTTGGAGACAATCCTGAAGGAGAAAGGACTATTACCAAACCGTTGGTGGAGGTTTGTTGACGATATCTTCAGCGTAGTTAAACGGGAAGCCCTTCCACAAATTTTAGATGAGATCAACAGAATTCATAAGGATATCAAATTCACTCACGAGGTAGAAAAAGACGGGAAACTCGCATTTCTCGATCTTCTAGTCATCAGGGAATCGTCATCATCTTCCTCGCTTGAATACGAAATTTACAGGAAACCAACAAGCACCAAAAGAGTTATCCCCTATACTTCCAACCATTCGTTCCAGCAGAAAATGGCCGCCTTTCACCACATGATTCACCGAATGCAGACTCTTCCACTCAGCGATACAGGAAAGGTTAAGGAATTACAGTACATCTTCGAAACAGCAAGACTCAACGGATACAAGGAGACCACAATCCAGGCAATCATCGATAAAAAAGCGAGAATTCTACAAAGGAGATTATTTACAACCCTCACCACAGCACCTGAACCATTGAAACGAGTGTCCGTTCCATTTGATCAAGATATTACTTGTAAACTAAGACCACAGTTAAAACAATTCGGATTAGATTTAGTTTTCACCAGTAGACATAACCAGTTGAAAACATTGTTAGGATCCACTAAAGACCCAGTTAATGTTTTAGGTAAAGCAGGTGTATATAAAATAAGCTGTAATCATTGTAACAAAGTATATGTAGGACAAACCAAGAGAACTTTAGCAACTAGATTTAAAGAACATATAGCGGAGGTTAATAAGGCCAAAAAACAAGAAGAAAAGGGCCTAACATATGATTTCAAATCAAAGGTTGCAGAACACATATTCACAGAGGACCACCAACTATCGACGGAGGACATAACGATTTTACGAACCGTATCTACACCATGGAAATTGGATGTTGCAGAAAGCCTCGAGATCAACAAACAACGTAATTCAACTTTACTCAACAGGGATCAAGGAAACGGACACACATGGCTTTTCAAGTTACTACCTAGGACACATCAACGAGTAAGCAGCGGAGTACCTGTTCCTATAGAAAATTAAATTTAAGTTTACCTAGTTTCTAAGTGAAAATGTACCTGTGTTAATATATATTCGGTAAATGCGATGTTTTTCTTCAGTCGAGTATTAGTACAAGACACTGAAGAAGTCTGCACATTGTAGACGAAATACGCGTATCTGTCAAGGATAAGCAAATAAAGTAGTGGAATTAAATGGAAAATACTAATCCTTCTCTCTCTCATTATACAGGTATTCCACTAAGACGCCCACATTCATCAGGATTTGAAATCTGTGTTAGGGAAATCGCTTTTCGTAGGCAATCGCTGATAATTTTAACTATCATAGCAACAGTTGCACATTCGTGCAATTTTCCACAGTGACATTTTGAAAGATAACCACCCCTATTCTGTATTTCGTTTCGAACGAAATTCTCATACAAAAAAATATTTTTTTGTATGAGAATTTCGTTTGAAACGAAATACAAAATAGGGGTGAACGTCTTATATTTCTGATCCATTGGTGATAAAATTATTGAAATTGGTCCAGTGGCAGCTGAGTTATTAACGTTCATAATCTTTCATAATTGTGTTACGTTACATGTTCCATTTTCGGTTTTCATAAAGTGTACCCCCATATAGAAATCACAGACGTAGTCCTACGTCAAAATCGTATGAAAAATAAAAACTGGTTCTATTCCGCTTTTTTCCATTACATGTGCTAAATGACGTTTTAGCTATTTGCAGTTTGCAGGGCTATATTTTGTATGCTATCATCTGCTCTTGTCTTTCTGCTTATAACACGATTTTCCGTCCCTTTCCACCAGTATACGTCAGCAGGCGGGCTGTATTTGTGAAAACAGATTCTTGATCGCCCACGCTGTCATCTTCTGGAATATCCTCAGTTCTGGTAACTTTGGATTCAAAATTACTCAATTCTACGTTCTTCACCCGCGAATAATGCTGCTCACGCACTCCAGTACACTCTGAAAGCGAGTTAACGATGAAAACCCGCATTCCGCGCCACTGATGTTGCTATAATGTTTGTTGGGCTACCGAACTCCACCTGAACTAAAATAGTTTAAATCGGTTTTATCATTAATTACGGTACAAGGCTTTCTCTAAAAATGTGCAAACCATTCGAAGTGAGCCAAATTTTATTTTTCATGTGTGGATATAAATATCAATGTGAGTATCTTATTTGCAAGCATTGTTTTTGTGAGTTAGCGTGATAATCTCTATCCTTCATATATAAACATGCTATTTTTCAATGTCCATAACAAACGTGATTTCCTTTCAGTGCAAAAATATCAGATTTTGGGGTGTCCACTTATTATATTGTTAAGCACGAATCATATAAAATACTTTTCTAAAATAAATATCAATCAGGACAGGTGTATGTTCCCAACCTAGCTGAACGCTCAATCATTATGAACATAACATAACCTACACGGAGAATATTGTCAAACCCACAGCATCATTTCAGGTCCTATGTTGTTAGCTGATCAAAATGTGATGCACTTTACCAAACAAATCTACATATGTTATCAATGCTCCTGAGCAATGGTAGAGTAAACGAGACTATAAAAAATTAAATAAACACAATAAAGTCTTCGGACGCCACTGGACTAGTAGAGAATTGCACATGGCTTAAAAAAGCTATGAATGTTTTGATTACTTGTAAATGGACGAACCTACACGCTAAAGAAACAAACATATACAACAACACGAGTGCACCTAGAGGAAATGAAAAGTTAATAGTCTTGATCATTCGGCTGTGCGTTTTTAAAAGTACAAATTTGAGTGCCTACAACTTAGTAATACTTTCTGGCCGTTGTTGGGCGAGCTATTCCTGATGTACGTGGTCTAGCCGTCTTGGCCCGTACGGGTTCGATGACTGAATCGGTATTGTAGCTCAAATAAACATGCGACAAGTCGATCAGATCCGTTTCTTTGGTATTAACTTTCGGCTCGGCTACATTTTTGCGCATATTATTTCCCGTGTAGGCAACGCATTTGAGCTGCCATTCTCCGATGTCCTCGTTCCAGTGGGTGAACTTTTCGATCATGTTCTGAAAATTGCGATAGAGAATATAATTGAAAAAAAAAAAACTAATCATTACACCAACTCACCTGATATTCTTTTGGAATGTACGAATTGATTACCAACTCACAAAGTGCCAGTTCCCGCGAAAGGCTACGAATGTTTTCATAAATGCCTTCCTTTTCACGCTGTTGTTCCTGCTGCTGATCAGCCAGCTCTGATTTGATACTCATCAGCATTGACATGACGCGCTGTAATTTCTTGGTTTTACCAACACACTCCTCCTGAAGCGAACTGTAACGTTCCTCTATATCGATTCGTTCGGCTTCGATCTTTTGGAGATTTTCTTCAAGTTCACGCTCAGTTTTCGTGCGTCGCTCCAGCTCTGCAATTGACTTCTCCAAAAGTACCTCTTGTGCTTGGGCTTTCTCTAGTAAGTTTTCACCACCCACGAGAATCTTGTTTTCCAACGACGAAAGTTTTGCACGTAGTTGATCTTGCTCGGACCTGTAAAAAAATTAATACAAAGTTTGACAAACATAAAAATAATGAACTATTTTCATACTTTGCTCGCTTAATTTCCTGCTCATTTTCAATTGCCTTCATTTCCAGAAGTTCCTTCTCTGCATCAGCCTTCTCTTTCTTCTCCATCGCTTTCTCTCGACGTTTTTTCTCCTTCTTTTCCAAACGCTCTCTCTCTTTGTCTTCATCAATTTCTATTTCTTCTTCCTCTTCCTCCTCCTCTTCATCTTCAGCTTCTTCATCGTCCTCATCTGTGCAAATGCCATTAACAAACGTTCCTTCCTCCAGTTGACGCTTGAGTTCCTTAATTTCCTCTTGGAAATGACGCAACAATGCATCCTTCGGTTCGTCATTCACATGCGCCAAATTCTGGATGCTCTTAGCGCGACATGCATAGCGCAGTGTAGATATCGTTTCAACGTAGTTCGAATCAGCCGGACTAATACTGGCACACATGACGGTTTTACTATTACCACCAAGTGAATCTTGCAGTAATCTGGTAAGCTTCGAGTTACGATACGGAATGTGAGTGCTCTTTCCATCCACCAAGGCACTAATTACATTGCCCAACACCGATAGTGACAAATTGATCTTCGTCGCTTCCTTCAATCTTAATCCAGATGATTGAGTTTTGCTCTGTCTCTCCGAACCTGCCAGATCGACCAACTGCAACTTTCCCATTTTAACGAACTGCTTCCCACTTTCATCAGTTTCACTGGATTCGATCGTAATCGAAAAGATAGCATGCGATCGTGAAGATTCCGAATTCATCTTGGTAGCCCCAACGACTCGGTTCTTGTTGCCCAACTTCATAATATTATCCAAATCGTCCGCATTGTGAACCACGTAACCGCTCAAATCCTTCACAAACACGCCAATGTCGGCACGTTCTTTTACCTCCAGACTTTTGTTAATTTCCTTGCCAAGCAAATCGCGAACCTCCTCGTTATAGATCTCCATATAACTTACCCGTACCAAAAACTTCTGGTTCTCCTTACCTCGGGCGATGTGCCCGAAAATATGGGCAAACGTGTTCGGTATGATGCCCTTTGTTTGCGGAGATTCCGGATTGCCAGACATGGTGTAGGTTTTACCGGTGCCGGTTTGACCGTACGCCAGGATGGTACCATTGTAGCCTTCCAGAACCTTGTCGACGATTGGCCGGGCAGTGTCAACGTATAAATCGATCTGTAAACGAAATAATGGGAACAAATATTTAGGGTATAGACAATCAATAAAACCATCTGTAGTTATATATTCATCATCGTGAAGGATCGTCATAGTCTATCAATCGACCGTTTAAAATGACAGATCGAGGATTATGTAATGACTCTGCATCCGAGCCTAAATGCGGTATTCTTTTTTATCCCATCAAAAGCTGGTTAATATTACAGCCGTCTTGTGACAATGAGAAAACAGGTCCTCCACTATCACGAGACGAAACTACCTAGGGTAGGTGTTCCAGTAATAGTGATGTACCTATAATTGCGGTATGGGGGTTGCACCGTAATAATGAGGGAAAACTGGATTTTCATTGATAGCTCTCCTAAAATAAAGCAGATTTGCATTTTTCAAACTAATAGCCCAAAAATTAAGGAAACAATTGATTTTCCTTAAGATGTTGATTCTTTTGCACCTATAGTTGCGGTAGTGTTCCTATAATAGTGGAATCAATAAGAAACCAATGCGTTCCACTATTATAGGAACCAAAGTTAGCAACTACCACTACTACTGGAACAGTGTTCCTATTGATGGAGGACAAGTTTTTGAAAAATGTATAAAATTTAGTGTAATATTTTTCTAGCAAAATAGAGATTGAAAGCTAATATGAAGTATAAAAATTGTATATTGGGGAAATGGCTCTAATGTTGGCCTATGGATCTAAGATTGGCCCCATCGCTAAAAATCTGCTATTTACCAATTGCATCTAGATGAACACATCATTGGGATGGTACTAATGGATATTTTTGGTCGCTATTGAAAATTTAGTCGATTGCTGAATTTTTGTATGGGCCCAAATTAGGGGCATTTAGGTCGACATTACACCCATTTCCCCTATATCGTTTATTAGTTAGTTCCTTAGTTCCTCCACTACTGGCATACCCACCCTATCTTGAGCTGTCTCGTCATTTTACAATGTTACTCTATAAGAACGCTGAGTAAAAAGTAGGTGTAGCCATCAAAACAATTTAAACGCTATCATAAATACTATTAGCTGTACTTTACAAACATTTATTAGTGAGATTCATATTTGTTATGCCTCGAATACACTTGTATGACCAACTATGAGGATGAGCCTTATTTGTATAATAAAACTCATGCTCATGCATGGCCACACTTGAATAGTTGTTGTATATATTTTGTAAAGCACTCATTATTATTATACAAATAATGCTCGTGTTAATAGTTTGCCATACAAGTGTATCCGTGACATTAGATATGCAAAAAGGATAATTTATTTGTTGTTCTATTTAGTCGTAAATTAAGTTAATTAAGTAAGGCTTATAACGAAATATTTAGGTTATTTGTCCGGATATTAGTGCTACAATTCGGTGCAACACTAATTCTAATAGTCAAATCGTAATGGAAGCGTTTAATTTTTAGTAGATTTGTTCGATCAGTGTTCTCTTGAACGTGTTATAATGATATGTGATAATCGTCATCATCACTTACGTACAGAATGACAAGTTTCATACAAAATAATATTCCTATTACCAATTAGAATTCCGTAGACTGATTCCAAAGGCACTTCCAGTCGGAATAAATCCAATTAACCACAACTCTCTTACGTACCTACAAGCCTGCATAGCTGTCACTATTCACAGCTCCGGTTGATTGTTAAATTAATTAACGCCCATCCTGTTGGTTTTCTCCCAACTTAAACGGCGATCTGTAGCCGACCTTTAAGTTCAATTCATTTAATTTTGAATTCGGCCTGGCAATCATTCTAAATATGGGTACAGACGGTGATGATGCAATACGTACTAGCCCAACCAACCAACCAATTCATTCATGCACTTGAGCGTCGCACCCACCAAGAACGGTCCAAATGAAGACACCACTATGGAACGGTTCTACACTCAGCAATGCTTGTGGTAGTCGACATACTGTCAGTGACCCATTTTAAAGTTGCGTGAGTAAATGCAAGAGTGTTGTATGTACACTAATGTAGCGATTAATAATAAATGGAGGATATTGTAGTTGGCATGAACCGTTGATGAAGAAATGAAAAATCTATAAAACACGTGGATACTAATTTTATGAATGTTTGAGTACTTCTAACACAGGTGTTTATTGAAAGCTCCGGTTGCATTGACAAGGTTTTCTTATTTTGTATTTGATAATGAGGGTGAAAGAGATTTTAATTAATGGTCCTCATAGTATGTATGCTTGTACGTGATTTAATTGCCCTGCATCCCCATTTGAAAAAAAAACCTTAACTAAAATTGATGCATTGCATTAGAAAAATGCAACACAGAAAATCTTCATTTAAAAACAAGGTTCATGGGCGAATACCCACAAGTATTGAATCGATAAGCCTGTGGTTAGTGTAATCAAATACACATTTCCAGCTGCATTTATTGAGTGGCACACCTACAAGGTCAGCTTAGAAAATGAAAGTACTCGCCTGTCTGGCTACGAATATACTTTCATGTTTTTCATTGAACCTTCTAACCACTAACCTTCGGAAAATATTGTGAAAGAGATTACACGGAATTATAATTTTTGTTACCATGTGAATCTTTGTCATTGACGAAAACATTAATCAGTTTTTGTTCATGTGAGAATTCTTCCAGTGACAATGTCTAAAATAATACTTTCAATACAGGGCTGATAGCAGTGTTAAGCATTAAAAATAGTGAATTAGTGACTTAAATCATTTAAAAAAGTGACGAAAATGTAACTTAAACATTATTATAAAACTTTCGAATATAGAATCATGAAAATTGATTTGCTAGTCATCCAAAAAGGCAAGCATCGATTGCCTATCTATACGTATTCTTCAAAAGTTTATATTGCAAGATCTTACACAACTAGATTAACAACCAACAACACGACTTTCAGCGGCGCCGGTGGTGTAGTGGTAAGCGTGATAACTTCTCACCCGAGCAGGCCTGGGTTTAATCCCAGTCGGCGCCGCTGGGATTTTCTGAGGCATAACATCTCTGATCACGCCTTTCTTCGGAAGGGAAGTAAAGCCGTTGGTCCCCGGTTCATGAGTTGATGAGTCGATAGGTAGGGTCCAGGTGTGGGAGCTCTGCCTCCCTGTCGTCGGTAGCATTGGTGCTCATCACGAAAAACAAGATCGACGAAAAACAAATCAAGGGAAAAAACACGACTTTCAATAACGGAGACATTTTACCATAATCTAATCTAATACAAACGCAGCCAGTACGAGAAAGCATTCTGGAAAATGATTAGGTTATATAACGCCATAACATTGATGTTTGCAGCATATCTAAGATAGGGTTTTTGATCTAATTTCCGTCCTACTAAGCACAGCCCGCGCTTTACCTCGCTTTCTTGAACGGGTTTTAACAATAAATGAAATCAGAGTTGGTTGGAAATGCTAACATGAAGCTTTAGTGTGATGATTTATTAGCTAGAGAATGATCTTTAGAAGAGGGTAGGTGGATAGTTCCGTTAGAGTACGGCAGTATGAAAATTGAATAGAAGTTGAAAATGAGCGAAGGGCCATTAAAGCGACAGTTTTTCAAGATAGACGCACATTTTTGCCTAGCCCGTACGATGTACGCGGGGACTTGAAATATGTCTCCAAGTCCACAGGCAAAAATGTGCGTCCCTCTTGTTGCTCATAAACTGACTGCGGCTGTGGAATAGTTCTAGCGACGTTTTCATCACTACCTAAAGCCCCACGTTTCGAGAGCATTTCCAGTCGATGGTGTGTTATAATGCAGTTCTTCTTTACCCAACTATTGTGTTGCTCCTCTCGTCATGACCAACGTGATCATCTCAGAGAGAAAGCAGTAGGGTGGTTGTTGCGTGCTGTACCATCATCAGCATTGTTGACGGCTACTCCCGCCTTGAGTTGTTACATTCAAAGTGTTTTTTATGTTACTTCATACGCGAAGTTAACGCTTTTCAGAGTTGGTTGGAAATGCTAACATGAAGCTTTAGTGTGATGATTTATTAGCTAGAGAATGGTCTTTAGAAGAGGGTAGGTGGATAGTTCCGTTAGAGTACGGCAGTATGAAAATTGAATAGAAGTTGAAAATGAGCGAAGGGCCATTAAAGCGACAGTTTTTCAAGATAGACGCACATTTTTGCCTAGCCCGTACGATGTACGCGGGGACTTGAAGTATGTCTCCAAGTCCACAGGCAAAAATGTGCGTCCCTCTTGTTGCTCATAAACTGACTGCGGCTGTGGAATAGTTCTAGCGACGTTTTCATCACTACCTAAAGCCCCACGTTTCGAGAGCATTTCCAGTCGATGGTGTGTTATAATGCAGTTCTTCTTTACCCAACTATTGTGTTGCTCCTCTCGTCATGACCAACGTGATCATCTCAGAGAGAAAGCAGTAGGGTGGTTGTTGCGTGCTGTACCATCATCAGCATTGTTGACGGCTACTCCCGCCTTGAGTTGTTACATTCAAAGTGTTTTTTATGTTACTTCATACGCGAAGTTAACGCTTTTCAGAGTTGGTTGGAAATGCTAACATGAAGCTTTAGTGTGATGATTTATTAGCTAGAGAATGGTCTTTAGAAGAGGGTAGGTGGATAGTTCCGTTAGAGTACGGCAGTATGAAAATTGAATAGAAGTTGAAAATGAGCGAAGGGCCATTAAAGCGACAGTTTTTCAAGATAGACGCACATTTTTGCCTAGCCCGTACGATGTACGCGGGGACTTGAAGTATGTCTCCAAGTCCACAGGCAAAAATGTGCGTCCCTCTTGTTGCTCATAAACTGACTGCGGCTGTGGAATAGTTCTAGCGACGTTTTCATCACTACCTAAAGCCCCACGTTGCGAGAGCATTTCCAGTCGATGAGACTTCATACGCGAAGTTAACGATTTTCAGAGTTGGTTGGAAATGCTAACATGAAGTACCGAAGCACGACCCGAAGGATCAAGAGATTTGTCATCGTAACGATGTTTTTCATAGATCACACTTTTCACATCAGCCAAAAGGAAAATGTTCGTTTGAACTTCATGCAAAAGATTGACAGTG